TACCACATCCACCGCTTCTCCCTTATCCACAAGACTTGTTATCCTATCAAAAAAAGCTATCAGACTGGTTTGACATGATTTGTTCTTTATAGATCCATGCTGGCTGTTAACTATCACCTAATCTTCCAGGTGTTTGCAGATGAATTCCTTAATTACTTGCTCCATTATCTGTCCAATCATCCATTCAGACACTGTCCCTGAGGCCATGCCCTTCTCTGTGAGTAGCAACCAACAGTCCTCGGGCCAGAGTTGGAGGCTGTCCCAGGAGCAAGGTCATGTGTGGCCTGCATAGCAGGACCTGCCTCATAGGGGCTCTGAGGTGTCCAGGGGACTATGCTGCCTGGTTTCCCCCACCCTAGCCCACAGACAAGGGGAGTGTCTGGCCACAGCAGGATCCCGGTATGGGTAGCAGAGGAGCCGGGAGCAGCCTGGCAGTGCTGCTCACGGGAGCAGGTGCTGCCTCACACATGCAGACATGTCCATGTGCTGTGTGTGGCACTCCTTGGTGTGTCTGGGGGTCGTGCCTGCATCATTGCAGCTAGCCTGTTTCCAGCTGTGGCAGGTGGTGGGAGGGTGTCCTCCGCCCTGGTGCCAGATGTGTGCAACCTCCCTGAGCCTGGGAGCAGGATCATTGGTGTGCTTAGAGGCTGCCTGCTGAATCCTTGTGGTACACACTAACATGCAGGAGGTTCCACATGCACGGACTGCAGCTCAATATCCAGCCCGAGCAGGCTGAGCGATGCTCGCATCGCACCCCACCCCTTCTACGTACATCTCCCTTGCCCTGTGTGTGTGACAAACTGAGAGCACTCACCTGAAGATCCCGCCCAGCATCAGACGAGGCCTGGGAGATATCCAGGCTGATGGGAACCAGCTCCAAGGAGAGCATGACGATGGCCATGTTGTCCACTGCCGCCGCCTCCTGCTGCTGTTCCTGGTCCTTCTCCTCCACCGTGACCTCTGGCTGGGCGACAATGGGCGGGTTGAGGCCAGAGTCCACCATGATGGGTGGGAAAACAGTTTTCACATCCCCCAGGATTTGGTGACGTTCCTGGTTGTAGGGGTAGGTGTGGGGTCCTGCTCCAGAGCGCGAGCTGTGCTTTCTGACCCTCATGTATCCCTGGTGGAGCCCTTTCACCTTACTCCGAACCTGTTTCAAGGTCCGGGGTGGGTGTCTGCGCTCCACAGGGACTTGGCCATCTGACCATAAATGTCTGCATTGCAGTGCTTGAAGCAGAGATCCTGTAGTGTCTCCTCCGCCCTGGTGCCAGATGTGTGCAACCTCCCTGAGCCTGGGAGCAGGATCATTGGTGTGCTTAGAGGCTGCCTGCTGAATCCTTGTGGTACACACTAACATGCAGGAGGTTCCACATGCACGGACTGCAGCTCAATATCCAGCCCGAGCAGGCTGAGCGATGCTCGCATCGCACCCCACCCCTTCTACGTACATCTCCCTTGCCCTGTGTGTGTGACAAACTGAGAGCACTCACCTGAAGATCCCGCCCAGCATCAGACGAGGCCTGGGAGATATCCAGGCTGATGGGAACCAGCTCCAAGGAGAGCATGACGATGGCCATGTTGTCCACTGCCGCCGCCTCCTGCTGCTGTTCCTGGTCCTTCTCCTCCACCGTGACCTCTGGCTGGGCGACAATGGGCGGGTTGAGGCCAGAGTCCACCATGATGGGTGGGAAAACAGTTTTCACATCCCCCAGGATTTGGTGACGTTCCTGGTTGTAGGGGTAGGTGTGGGGTCCTGCTCCAGAGCGCGAGCTGTGCTTTCTGACCCTCATGTATCCCTGGTGGAGCCCTTTCACCTTACTCCGAACCTGTTTCAAGGTCCGGGGTGGGTGTCTGCGCTCCACAGGGACTTGGCCATCTGACCATAAATGTCTGCATTGCAGTGCTTGAAGCAGAGATCCTGTAGTGTCTCCTCCTTGCCCCATAGTGTGTGAAGGCACAGGATCTCCACTCTGGACCAGGAGGGTACCTAGGAGCCCTCATTCTGATTCCTGTGAGGGCCAGGGAAGTGTGTGGGTGGGCTTGTGGCTCCACCATAGGTGAGAAGGCCTGTGGCAGGGAGAGCTATGTGGTCAAGGTGCTGCTCCCAGGCTGGCTTCCTGCCACAAGGCTTGTCCAGGGTGCCTGCAGCTTTAAGAGGAGCCAGGAGACAAGAACTGTAGAGCTGTAATTACTTTGGATGGAGTGGCCACCAGAACACGTGTTATTTCCTAGAGGCCTCTTCTTTAGAAAGAAAACCCTCTTTCTTATCCACATGCTCAGGGCTCGCCGAGCGGCAGCGAGCCCCACTAGCCAGCCACGTGGTTCTGTGCTCTGCACATGCGCAGATGTTGAGTCCTGCACATACGCCTTTTCCATAAAAGGCGTTCTTCCTTGTAAAAAGAGGATTACCACTGTTGGATAAAGCCCTGTGTTTTTTCAATTTACTTTCAAAAGAATGCGATTTCTGTGTGGATGTAAATGAAGTTTTATTGGAAAAAGTTGTTTTTCCGAAAAAAACCTCTGTAATATAGACATAGCCCTAGAGGAATGGAAAGAGAAGTACCTACACCGATGAGAGCATCTTCACTAATGATACAGTTGATTTGGTGCTGTTGAAGCATTGTATATTTAGCGACGCACTAAGCCTATATCTACTCTATGAGCTAAGGTTGTGGTAAAAGACCTGTAAACACAAAAAGAAATGTGAGTAGAAATGGCAGTGAAGCTGCAGCAAGGGAGGCACAACTTAGCTGGCCTGAGGATAAATCCACCTGAAACTAGTGTTACTGCAGTGATGTAGCTACATGTACTTGTGCAGGATGGATGAGAATGTGACTATCTGTATAGGGGCAGGGTAATTATACCTTTAACTTACAGCAGGGCTTCTGAACTTTGGAAGCTCTTTCACACTGATGGGCATGAATACAAAAATTAAGGCAAGAGTACACAACACATAGTCCCCATTTAAGTCAGTTCTGCTGATATTAATAAAATGCAATATTTACCTACTTTCCACCCTTATGACAGCACTTTTAATGAGCAATGACAGTCCAAGAATTTAACTACTAAAACACGTCTCAACAGAAGACCATTATATTGACTACTTTTTTGTTTTGGCTCCCACTTGCAGGCCGCAAACAAATGGCCTGGGCTGCGTGTTGAGTAGTCCTGACTTACAGTGTAGGCACTCCAGGATACCTATACAACTATGTCTAATGTGACTCAGTAGCATCCCTTTTGGACATCTAAGGACTGGTATAGATACATTTTAGGATCATAGATTCATATAAAGACAGAAGAGAACACTAATAATCTGTTCTTGACCTCCTGCAAAATACAGGCCAGAGAACTTCCCTGAGTCAATTCTTGTTTTCACTACAGCATATATTTTAATAAAATAGCCAGTCTTCATTTAAGAATGGCCAATGCTGGAAAATCCACCACAGCCTTTCAAAAGGTTCTCTGTGGTGTGGCCTACCCAGAGGGTGGCTATAAAACCAGATAGTAAGATAAATGGGGCGGCAGAAGTAGTTTCAGGCAGAAAAAGAGAAGAAATTCAGACCTGCCTTTCAAAGGAGTTGCTGTTCAAATGAAAATGTAAAGGAAGAAAGTTGGGGTGCAGCTACATTATAGGTCTGAGAAGGTAGACACACGAGGGCCTATAAAACCAATCCTCATGAAAAGGAGCCAGCTGCACATTTCCCACTGGCTCAGTAGAGCATAAAAGGCTTCACATCTAATGCTGGGGGGAGCCCGCTCATTTCACAAAATGCCAGGCCACGTAGCAGGGCTCTAGGGCAGGCCCCCAGGAAAAGCCAGGGCGCGCGTGCATAGCTGCTTGGCGTCAGCCTCCCTCCGCGAGCAGCTGTGGCCCCCGCAGCCCTGCCCTTGCACGGGCCCCTTCAGCGCCCAGGCCAGCCCGCACCCCGCGCCGCGGCCGCAGGGGAAAAAAAGACCC